TGTCACCTCTGGCCTTGTCTACTCTCCCTTCTTGAAAATATACTGTCCTTGGGGCGCCTGGGTGGCTTAACTGGTTGAGTGTCTGATTACTGATTTCAGCTCAGGTCATGATCCCAGGGTCATGGGACTGAGCCCTGCATAGGCTCTTTGCTGAGCATGGAGCTTGCTTAGGATTTTCTCTCTCTTTCTCTCTCCCCCTGCCACTCTTCTTTACTCATCCTCTCTCTAAAATAAGAAAATTTAATTTTTTTTTAAAAAGAAGAAAAACGTACTGTCCCTAATAAACTGCTTTGTGCTTGCTACTTTCCTCCTGGCTGTCTTTATTCAAGCTCAGTCTCACATAAATCTTTCATGGGAAATCCAAAAACCTCCATTCACACAAGGCAGACTCTCCCACTACTGACAGCTACTCTGGCCAGGACTTCCAGTACTATGTTGAGTTAAAGTAGTCAGAGTGGGTACCCTTGTCTTGTTCCTAATCTGAGAGGAAAGCTTTCACCTTTTTGCCTTTGAGTATGATGTTAGCTGTGGCTTATCAAGTATGTCCTTTATTATGTTTTTATTATGTTGAGGTACATTCCATCTATACCTAATTTGTTGACAGCTTTTATCATGAGTGGATGTTGAATTTTGTCAAATGATCTTTCTGCATCTATTCAGATAGTCATATGACTTTTATCTTACATTTTAATAATGTGGCATATAACACTTATTGATTTGTGTATGTTAAATTATATTTGAATCCCAGGGATAAATCCCATTTGATCATGGTGTATGGTCCTTTCACATGGTGTTGAATTAGTTGCTGTATTTTGGTGAGAAATTTTGAATCTATATTCATCAGGGATATTGACCCGTAATTTCTTTTCCTGTAGTGTGTTTTTCTGCCTTTGGTATCAAGGTAATGCTGGACTCAAAAACTAAGTTTGAAAGTATTCCTTCCTCTTCAATTTTTTTGGAAAAGTTTGAGGATTATCTTTAATTCTTTAAATGTTTGGTAGAGGGGCCCCTGGGTGGCTCAGCAGGGGGAGTATCTGACTCTTGGTTTCAGCTCAGGTCATGATGTCACATTTTATGATACTGAGCCCCATGTGGGGCTCTGTGCTGACACCATGGAGCCTGCTTGGGATTCTCTCTCTCTCTCTGACCCTCCCCTGCTTGTGTGTGTGCACATTCTCTCTGTTTCTCTCTCTCAAAATAAATAAACATTAAAAAAATAAATGAACTCACCAGTGAAACTATCTGGTTCTGGATTTTCTTTATTGAGAGGATTTTGATTACTGATTCAATGTCCTTAAATGTTATTGGGTCTGTTCAGGCTTTGTTTCTTCATGATTGTCTTGACAGGCTACATGCCTTGAAGAAGTTAGCCATTTTTTCTAGGTTATTCAACTTGTCGGTGTATACAATCATTCATAATAGTATCTTACAATCCTTTGTATTATCTGTGTTATTATAATATCTCCCCTTTCATTTCTGATTTTGTTTGATTCTTCTTTTTTTTAGTCTAGCTAAAGTTTGTCAGTTTTGTTTGTTTCCACAAGTCAGCTCTTTGTTTTGTCAATCTTTTCTACTGTTCTGCTGATCTCTATTTCATTTATTTCTGCTCTGAATGTTTCTTTCCTTCTGCTAATATTTGGGCTTAGTTTTAAAATTCTATCTCTAGTTCCTTGCGAGGTATAAGGAAGTTAGTTATTTGGTTTTTTTTCTTTTTTTAAATTTATTTTTGAGAGAGAGAGACAGAGACAGAATACAAGCGGGGGAGGGGCAGAGAGAGGGAGGGAGACACAGAATGTAAGGCAGGCTCCAGGCTCTGCACTGTCAGCACAAACCCTGACATGGGGCTCAAACTTGTAAGCCATGAGATCAAGACCTGAGCCAAAATTGGTCGCTCAACCAATTGAGCCACCCAGGTGCCCCAAGATTTTTCTTTTTTCTTAAATTAAGTATTTACTGCTATCAGCTTTCCTCTTAAAACTGCTTTTGTTGCATCCATATATTTTGGTAGTTGGATTTTCATTTTCATTTGTTTCAAGATTCTTTTTTTTTTTTTAAACAAACCTTTAAAAAAATGTTTATTTCCGAGAGACAGAACATAAGCTAGGGAGGGGCAGAGAGATGGGGACAGAATCTGAAGCAGGCTCTAGGCTCTGAGCTGTCAGCAAAGCCTGGTGCGGGGCTCAAGCTCATGAACCATGAGATCATGGTCTGAGCTGAAGTCGGATGCCCAACCAACTGAGCCATCCAGGCACCCCTGTTTCAAGATTCTTTTAAATTTTTCTTTTAATTTCCTTCTTGACTCATTCCTTGTTTAGGAGTGTGCTGTTAGTTTCCATATATTTGTGAAATTTCCAGCTTTCCTCTTATTTCTTGGAGCTATATCCAGGTCTATAGCCAGGACAGTGGTCAGGAAGTTAATTGCCTGAATGGAAGCCTCTTTTCTCAAAACAATTCTCCTCATTCTTGTGAAAACTGTACTGAAGTTTCATAGCTTTCTACCTGGATCTCACAGATCCCATGAGGCACTTTTGTTCATGGTTGCATGTCAAATTATTGTTGTGAGAGGAATAAAAATGAAAAATTTCTTATTTGAGCATCTTGCTGATGTCACTCCCTTTCATCCTAAATTCTAAACCCTCACAGACTTTTATTACTTTTCACACCTCTATTATTAATCTCAATCACCAAATCAAGGAATCTTTTTTTTACTTATCATAACTTCTTATAAATATGTTATCTCTGAATACAAATTATTCCTATTTTTCTGATCGTAGATTTTTTTTTTAATATTTTTATTTATTTCTAGGAGAGTGAGAGAGACAGCATGAGCAGGGGAGGGTCAGAGAGAAAGGGAGTCACAGACTGAAACAGGCTCCAGGCTCCGAGCTGGCAGTCAGCACAGAGCCCAACGCGGGGCTCGAACCCACGAACCGCGAGATCATGACCTAAGCGAAAGTCGGACACTTAACCAACTAAGCCACCCAGGCGCCCCTGATCCTAGATGTTTGAAATTCAAAAGCCAAAGCTGACTCACACTGATGCCTATTCAACTGAATAAATGAGAGTCACAGAACAGAAAGAAATATCCAAAGGAGGGTAAATTTGTTTAGTTCTTCCTAAACATCATCCTGCCACATTCCAGGTGCTGCCTGCACTCCCATTTCTTTTTCATGACCTGCTCTCCCTTTCACTCTTATTTTTGCCAAACCTGCAAAACCAGGCATTTCAAGAATGAAGACACTTTTTGGCCTTTAGAAAGATGAAGATCTATCACTTCATCACTGAGCAGAAGAAATTACAAAATGTAACTTTTAATATTTTAAAGCTATTTAGGATACAGTTTGAATAAATTATTTTATGATTTTGTAAAGAGCTCTATGACCCTGAAGAATGTGAAAGGACAGCCTTGGGAGGAAGACATGCAGGAGTAACTTGTAATTAGGTATTTAATTGACTTTGAAGGGAAAGGAGTTGCATAGCTGGTAGTGATTACAACTACATAAAGATTGAAATATTATCCAAACAAGCTACCTAAGCTATTTTATGATATCATAAGACTCACATGATGTCTACACCCTGAATTATTTTGGTGGTGCTAAGACAACCACCCTCTTGCTTTAGAGCAAAAGGAATGTAAAGTAGTTAGGTGATAAAATAAAGCATACCTTCCATCAGAGTTTTAGTATTTTATTTTCAAGATCACTTTGAATTGTCAGATTTACAGTTAAGAGAGATAAAGTGTATAATTCAAGTTGGCTTATTGAAATTGCATGATGTATTATAACTTCTTATTGGAAAAGATTATACTTAAGTCTCTAGAAAAATATTAGTATTGTAGGAAGTGCTGTGTCTCTAGATATTTGTTACCTTTCAAATATTCCCAGACTGAAGTGCAAATTCATTATTTGTGAAAAGTAAAACATTATTTAATTACATACATGCACATATACATACATAGACTATCAATATGTTTATTACTCTGCAAAAATAAATTTTGAATTCTCATACATTAATGAAGTACTGAATTTTAGATTTTGAGCTTTTATAACCAAATAAAAAACATTTAATTTAATTTAAAATTTTGTAATGTTTGTTTATTTTTGAGAGAGAGACAGACAGAGTACAAGCCAGGGGGAGGCACAGACAGAGGTAGACACAGAATCCGAAGCACAATCCAGGCTCTGAGCTGTGAGCTCAGAGCCCGACGTGGGGCTCTAACTCATGAACTGCAAGATCATGGCCTGAGCCAGAGTCAGACGCTCAACCGACTGAGCTACCTAGGCGCCCCAGCTAATTTTAATTACTTATATGTCTATTACATTTAAACATTTATATGACATTTAATTATATTTATCTATATCTGTCTTCTTAAAAACATTGTGTTTGTAATTTATATAAAATAAAATTCCTTAAATAACAAGGTGTACAGCTGATACAAAATGCAGATGGTAAAATATTGTAGGCCCATTTTAATAATAATTTTAATTCACTAAAAATAAAATAATAATAAAAAGGACCATTTCATCTACAATTTAGCTTAAATTTAAAAATATAACATTTATATCTGTATTTTATTCTGTTTGTAAATATAATTATTTTTCATTTCTTAATTCCTTGTACTATATTATTAATCCTCATGAAGCAGTATAATTTTTACATAGTCAGACGTGTATTTAGCTCACATTTGTAACCAGAAAATTGGGAATCAGAAAAGTCTTTCATGTTCCTATCCTGTATCTGAAAGCATTAAGGTAGTCAGATATTGGAACTCTTCTACAGCATGCTGGTAGCAGAATCCTTTTCTGAACACTTTTCATATGCTTAATAATTCAGTAGTCTGTTGTTCATATAAATATTATTTTCATACCAGGCCTGAAATAGTAAAGGCCATGCATGCTTCTGAAGCAAAATACTATGAGCACATAAACAGCTATTCTACGTGATTCTGCTCTTTGACATTGGCATCAAAAATGTTTTTTTTCCAGGTTAACAAGGTGAGAACTTAATGATGGCAGTGATGTATCCTCTGAGAGAGAAATAAACTCTGTGGAAATAAAGTTTGTGGCTGACATCTCCCTCCTTCCTGCCTGTCATTTCCTCTAGTGAGTTTGGCAACAATATTGCAAGGTCCACACTACTAGTTAACTGCAGATTGAGTACGTTTCCAGGAAAAAAATGTCCCCTTCCCTAACTCGAATTCCTGGCACCTACATTTATGTTATTTACAACCTTGTAAAATCAGTAAGTTTTCTATATGTGTTCTCACTTTGGATAGAGCTAAGGGAATTGTCTGTTGTAAAGAATGACTAAGTTGATATTTTCCAAAAGTAACTGTCCTAATAGTTTTTTCAGTCTTTTAGAAGACTAAAAACAGATATAAAAAGAAACACATTGGCCCATATAAAAAGTAGAATTCAGCTGAGATCCTATGTATAAGGGGAAACAGAGAAAATTTTTGAAGTTTTAAGGTAAGAAATAATCGCTTTTTAATATGAAAGAAAGACAAAGTACTTTCTCAAACCCAGAAAATAGATCAGGAAGTCACTTGCCATTATGGGCAGTGATTTAGGGTGAAAATAGAGAGTTCTAAGTGCACATGAGAACTATGAATTATTAAAACTGCGGCTCAGCTATTTATAAATACATTTCTGTTTAGAAATTTGTTCACTGCAGTGATGACTCAGAATATAAGCCACAACATCTGGCAATGCTTAATTCCAGAGCCTATCTGCCTCCAACTTAGGCTGCATTAAAAAAAAAAAAGTAGTCTGCAGGGGCCCCCGGGTGGCTAAGTTGGGTAAGCATCCAACTTTGGCTCAGGTTGTGATCTCACAGTTTATGAGTTCGAGCCCTACATCAGGCTTTGTGCTGACAGTGCAGAGCATGCTTGGGATTCTCTTTCTCTCCCTCTCTCTCTGCCCCTTCCCAACTTGAGCTTTCTCTCTCAGAATGAATGGATGAACTTAAAAAAAAAAGTAGTGTCCAGTTTATAGGAGGTAAGAGTCATATTGTACTGATCAGAAACAACTTCTGTGAAATCATCCTAAGTGTAGCCCAAGAAAAATAACCCAAAGTAATAACATAAGAAGTAGTAACAGTATTCTTTTATTTTTTTTTTTTTGTCAAGTGTAAAGAAGACTCCCGGGAATACCATTTAATTCTTCTAAAGACTCTTAGAGCTCTTATGGAAAAAATAACTTGTTTTTTTAATGTTTATTTATTTTGAAAGAATGTGTGTGCATGAGAAAGTGCGAGTGGGGGAGGGTCAGAAAGAGAGGGAGAGAGAGAATCCCAGCAGACTCCATGCTGTCAGCACAGAGCCTGATATGCGGCTCAATCTCATGAACCATGAGATGACCTGAACTGAGATCAAGAGTTGGATGCTTAACTGACTGTGCCACCTAGGTGTCCTGTAAAAATTAGATTGTTTTCTTTATCAAAAAGCAATAAAAATTTTAGCTTATTAGATAAATGGTCCAGTGCCACAATAAGACTTTATTATGAACACTAGGGTAGCATGGCAGATAATCAAGGACTGACTTGCTTATGGATCTTTGAATAATTTTAAAGTCCCCAGACCCTAGAAATATAACATTGCATAAAAGAGGAAGAACTCACAAAGCTTGCCTTCTATGTCCTGGAAAGAAACAGTACTCTCATTAATGCAGGAAAGAGTAAAGACATAATTCCTTCTTCCTAATACAGAGTCAGAGTCAGAAAAGGACAAGTAGCTGTGCAGGAAACAGTAACACCATTCTGAAGAGCTTGTCGGCCAGTCTCCTGAAACGTCATTCATTCTTTTAGCATCAACAAGGAGGAAGACACAAGACCCTGGGCTAGAAACTATGAGCACAAAGAATATGAAATAGCTACTGGAAGTGGAACTTCAGCAATGATGGCATGAGAAGCATGGCAAAAACCCCTGCCTGGCAAAACAAGGTAACCAGTAAAAATTACAAAACAAAACAAAAAATCTTTTCAGGTTTCTGGGAATTTTTCTAAAACCATACCTCATAGGAGAAACATTTATTTATTTTTTAAATCTACTCAATCATGGTAAGAGTGGTAAGAATCTGTGGCATTTGAGCCACAATGCAGTCCATTACCCACAAACTCACAGAACTGTGTTACAGAAGTTCTACTTCAGGCATGTGCAGCAAAGAATGTTCTGGATCCCTGTCACGCCAGTTCCGAGTCTGAGGCTATACTGTCATCACAAGGAGGACGTGGTGCTGGTTTTTCTCACTCATTTCACTCTCAAAGTGAAGAACCTCTATTCTGAGTGGGGAAAAGAGAGAATTGGTCTCCCTTCTCACATCCAGTTCCCACCCATCGAGTGAAAGCTCTACCACAGTTATTGCAGGGCAAGAATACTGGCCTTGATTGGCAGAGCCCCAGCTCACTGACCAGGGATAATACTGCAGTCCCCTCAGTACCCATTGTTAGAAAGAGATTGTTACTCTGGAAACATAGGTCCTCCTCATCAGCTCCAGTGCAGTGACACAGGGGTTCTTTCCAAGAGTAAGCAGACGCTTCATGGCCCAAGAACTCCCACTAGCTCTGACTGAGGGGATGGATGGACATTATTTGGAACAGTGAGTGGAGAACTCATGCCCAAGGGTGTTACTGACAACAACGGAGACCCTGGTGGACTGACGGTGGTAATTCTGATATAAACAAATCAGTAGACCAGCCAGAACTTTAATGGTGAGAACCAAAGAATGAGACATGAAGAACCTTCCTAGGATCGCAGCCAACTCCAGAGTTGAAGTTTGTGCATATGTAGTATACTTCACCCACTGAGAACTAGTCAGAGCAGAACATGAGGCAGAACCACACGAAGATCCATTGATACAGAGCAGAAGTCTACTGGCACAAGGGGATTAATCAAAACCTCTAATAAGACACTGACTGTCCAGGGAGGTACTCTAACCCAGGCACTTTCTAAGAAGAAAGGCTTAAAAATAGTATCACAGTAATCTCTGGCAGTCTGGAAGACTATATACCTAACCGAAGCTGTACTCTATCTAGAGTTATCAGAAAGACAAACTTCAAGCTACTAGTGCCTGGCTGAATATGGGGCAAAAAATGCAAATTGTCTGAACTCAGCAGCAGCCTCTAAATCACACAAATATCCCATGATAAAGAGTAAAAATACAAGCTAGCTAAGAGGGCTTAAACAGGAGCTCTAGGCAGCCAGACTGAAAGACAAAAATAAGGGAAAAATAGCCAAAGGGAAATACACTTTGTAGAAATAGTTGAGCCAAATCACAAAAACAAGCAAAAAACAACCACCACAATCACCTCTAAAGGTCAGTATCCAGAGCCGCTACAATAAATTATCTGAGATGTTCAGCCTTTAAAAAAATATTTTTAATGTTTATTTATTTTTGAGAGAGAGAAAGCAAGAGTGGGCAAGGGGCAAAGAGAGCAAGGGGCAGAGGATCTGGAGCGGACTCCATGCTGACAGCAGTGAGTCCAATGCAGAACTCAAATTTGCGAGCATTTCTTTGCAAATAAAGGTCTAATTGGGGCACCCGGCTGGCTCAGACTGTTAAGCATCCAACTTCAGCTCAAGTCATGATCTCACAGTTGGTGAGTTTGAGCCCCCCGTCAGGCTTTGTGCTGACAGTTCAGAGGCTGGAGCCTGCTTTGGATTCTGTCTCCCTCTCTCTCTGGCCCTCCCCCACTCACGCTCTGTCTCTCTCTCTCTCTCAAAATAAATACATAAACATTGAAAAAAGTTAAAAAGAAATAAAACTACCACTTCTGGTACACATTCAAAGAAAATGAAATCAGTATCTCAAAGAGAGATCTGCATTCCCATGTTCACTGCAACATTATTCACAATAGCTGAGACAAGGTAACAACCTAAGCATTCATTGACAGATTAATGGATAAAGAAAATGCAGTTTATGTACATATACAATAAAATTTTAGTTCAGGCTTAAAAAAGAAGTAAATCCTGCCATTTGCAACAAACGCAGATGAACCTGGAGGATGTTATGCTAGGTGAAATAAGCCACACAAAGAAAGACAAATGCTGCATGATCTCACTTTCATGTGGTATCTAAAAAAGTCAAACTCATAAAGGCAGAGAATGGAATGGCAGTAGTCAGAAGGGGTGGGGGAAAATAAAATCTTAAAAAAAAAAAAACAAAAAAAGTCAGATGTAAATTTAACCGTATCACAATACATTAAATATGAATGGATTAAATAATCCAATCAAACCAGACATAGTCAGATTGCTTAAAAGAACAAAATCCAGGGGTGTCTGGATAGCTCGGTTGGTTAAGTATCTTACTCTTGATTTCAGCTCAGGTCATGAGCTCCTGGTTCATGAAATAGAGCCCTGTGTCAGGCTCTGCACTGACAGAATGGAGCCTGCCTGGGTCTCTCTCCCTCTCCCTCTCGCTCTTTCTCTCTCCCTCTCTCCCTCGCTCGTGCTCTTTTTCTCTCTCTCCAAAATAAACATGTTTGAAGAAAGAGCAATATCTATCTCTGTGACATCTATAGGAGATATAGTTCAGATCCAAAGATACAAATAGATGAGAGAAAAAAGGATGGAAAAGAGTGACACAATGCAAACAACAACAGCTTCCTTGATCTGTAGTTCACATCTGTCTTCATTTATTTTGGAAAGTTCTCAGTCACCGTGATTGCAAACATTTTTCAATCTCTGCTCTATCTTTCTTCTTCTGATATTTCAATTATACCTATGCTACACTTTTTCAAATTGCCCCACAGTTATTATATTCCTGTTCTGTCTTTTAAATTCTTTTTTTCTCTTTGCCATTAATTTGGCAAGTTTCTATAGACCTATCTTCAAGCTCACTGATTCTTTCATTAGCTGTGTCCAGTTTACTGATGTGCCCAGCAACTGCAGTCTTCATTTCTATGAAAATGTTTTTTATATCTAGCATTATCTCTTGATTCTTTTAGAGTTTCCATCTCTCTGCTTCTATAAGTCATTTTGTACCCTGCACATTATCTTCCTTTTCCATTAGATCCCCTAATATATTAATCATATTTATTGTATTTATTTATTTTAATCAGAGTTATTTTAAATTCCAAATCTGATACTTACAAAATTTGTGTCATGTCTGAGTCTGGTTCTGATGCTTGCTTTATCTCTTCATACTGTGATTTGTTGTTGTTTGCTTTTTTTAAATTTTTAATTATTTATGAGAGAAAGCGACAGTGTGAACAGGGGAGGGTCAGAGAGAGAGGGAGACACAGAATCTGAAACAGGCTCCAGGCTCTGAGCTAGCTGTCAGCAGAGAGCCTGACGCGGGGCTCAAACCCACGAACCATGAGATCATGACCTAAGCCAAAGTCGGAGGCTTAACCGACTGAGCCACCCAGGTGCCCCTGTTTGCTTTTGTTTTGCCTTCTAGCATGCCTTGTAATTTTTAGTAGAAATCTGGAAATAGTAGAAATCAAGTAATAGATAGGAACTAAAGTAAATAGGCCTATGGGGTGTGGCTTTATGTTAATGTCACTCAGAATTGAGCTGTTTTATTTTTTATTTATTTTTATTTTTTAAAGAGAGAAAGCACATGTGCACGTGTGAGCAAGTAGGCACAGGGCAGAGGGAGAGGGAGAGAGAATCTTAAGGAGGCTCCATGCCTAGCACGGAGCCCTACATAGACCTCGATTTCATAACCATGAGATCATGCCCTAAGCTGAAATCAAGAGTTGGACACTTAACTAACTGAGCTATCATGGTACCCATGAATTGAGCTGTTTTAAATGGTTGCTTATAGTTGAGGTCCCAGAGTCTTCCTATTTCTCCACTGTCATTGTTTTTGTCTCTGCTGTCTTTAGGCTTTCCCAAAACTTCTCCTTAGATACAGTCTGGATCTTGCAGCTCCTTCTGCTGCAACCAACTGTAATTATACTGAAGCTTTAATGGCGTGGTGGTAAAGTGTGAAGAGGATGGTAATAACTGGTCTATAATCCTATGATTAAATCTCAGTCTTTTAGTAGGTTTGTGCCCTTCACCAGTATTCCTTAATTTCTACACCATCTACATAAAACAGAAGGCTGGAAAAAGCTAAAGTCAGAGTCACCTAAGTGGTATAAAGCTCTGGTTAAGTCTCTTCCCCTGCAGAAGAATGGTCCTTTGTTATGAGGAAAACTCTGGAAATATTTCACAATGGTTACTTTTCTCCTCCTCTTGTCAGAGTCATGAAGAGATCCTTCTTTATTCTTCACTGTAAGAACTTGGTGGGATTCTTATTGATATGACCCAAGAAATGGGTGAGGGGACTAAGAAATTGGTTACCATACTAGTTCCCATACTAGTCCAAACTCAGTCTCCAGAAGTTCTTCAAAATTATAATTTAAGTTTTCCTACAAGCTTATGGCTCCAGTGTCTTTTGCTCCAGGAAAACGAGCCTCAGTTGTTACTCTCTGGAGTAGCACATCTCTCCAGATTTCAGTGTGGCCATTTGCCCCATGATCTTAATTCTACCGATGATGAGTTCAAAAAATGTCATCCATTTTCAATTTACTCAGGCTTTTTATAGATTTAAGAACAGGAATGATGAGCTCAAGTTCTTTACAGGCTGGAGCTGAATCTGCAAGTCTCCCTCAAAATATGAATTTTTACTTAGAATACTCAATCACCTCTTCACTTCTACACATATACCAAATTCCAACATTTGTTGAACATTTGTGCCTTTTCTCCTAGGAGATGTCATTTAAATGATGTGCATTTCCTCACCTTTAAACATGTAATATATATTCTAAATGACTGTGTAGTCAGTGAGTCAGGCTGCTGGGTGCCATACATGTATGAAATGAAATTCAACTCTTTTCCATTTGTTAAGAACTGGATCAATATTCACCAACTAATGAAGAAAAGTGAAATGGTTCTTGTTCCTGGATAGTACTTGGAGCCCCGTAAGCTTGTAATAGCATGCTGCAAGAAGAACTGGTGATTACTTCCTTCCTTATCTCACATGCACTCACTCCACTAATGTACTTTGAATTGCAAAAAGAAAAACACAAATTTGTGTGTGATGCCATTTCAATGTATCTGATCATATTTAAAGGATATACCAGCTAAAAACACAAAATTGTTTTATTATGTCATATGAATTACTTAATATTAGGAAAGAGTATTTTCATGCCCAATGTTGCTATGGACTCAATTGTGTTTCCCCCAAAATTCATAAGTTGAAGAAGCACTAACCACCACTGTGACTACAAGTGAAGCTAGGGCTTTTAGTAGCTAATTCAAGTTAAATGAGAGCATAAGGGTGAGGGTCTAATCTGATAGGTTTGGTGGCCTTATAAGAAGAGAAAGAAATTCTATCCCCTGCTGCCCTTACCACTTTTCCACAAGCACACATCAAGGAAAGGTCATGTGAGGACACAGCAAGGTTGCTGTCTGCAATCCACGGAGAGAACTTTCACCAGAATCCAGCCCTTTGGCAATCTGATCTTGGAATTCTAGTCTCCAAAACTGAAAAATAAATTCCTGTTGTTTAAGCCATCCAGCCTATGGTATTTTGTTATGGCAGCTGGTGCTGACTACTACAAGTGTGTGTGACTTGTATTACCTGTCTAATTCTAGCTCTGTCTTCAGCCTTTGTCCTTAAGTGAAGGTTACCATGATGAGAAAAGACAGATATTATCCAGGGCTTATGAGCAGTGTGGATACTTCCTGAATACATCTAAATAATTTTGGTCCAGAAATGATAGTGTTCACAAAATCAGAATTCACCATAAAATTCAACTTTTCAGAATAAATTAGCTGCAAATTAATTTTTCCTTCTCTCATCTCAGTTCACATCTTTGGAAGATGCAGTTTTTCTTTATTGAATACATTAGCTCTTCAAGAAAATCAGGAAGGACTTTCAAAATCAAGGCGTACTGCATTCTATCCTCAGCCCTGACACTAAAGAACTAAAGTATTTCTAGAAGATTGATCAAATACGTTGAGCCTCAGATTGACTGCTTTATGATGAAGATTAAAAGCCAGTTATCAGATACATAAAATAATGTAATTGTATTTAATTTGTGTAAGTTATATAATATAGATACATGTAAAAATATAAAATATATACATTTACATTTATGTCATATAACACAAAATATAACTATGTATGATATAAAATATAAAAATAATATATATATATTAGACTGAATAGTATATGTATATAGTAGATTGCATAATAGCCTCTAAAGGTATCCAGGTCTTAATCCCTAGAACCTGTGAATGTTATGCTATATGGCAAAAATAACTTTGTGGGTGGAATTAAGTTAAGGATCTTGATATGGGGAGTTTGTCCTGGGCCCGAATTATAATCACAAGTGTTATATTTAAGGGAGACGGGGAGATTTGACTGTAGAAGAGGAAAAGAGGTTGTGCTGAGAGAAGCAGAGATGGAATGATGCCCACTGAAGATGGCAGCAGGGGCCACAAGCCAAGAAATACAGACGGCCACTAAGGCTAAAAGAGGCGAGGAAACAGATTCAACTCTCAAGCCCTCCAGAAGAAAACAGCCCTGCAGAAACCTTGACTTTCATCCAGTGAAAGTGATTTCAGACTTCTGACCTCCAAAACTGTAAGACAGGGAATTTGTTTTGTTTAAGCCACTAAGTTTATAGTAATTTCTTACAGAAGCAATAGGAAACAAATTATATATGTAATTATATATATGTATACATATATATAATTATATATATATATACACATACGTGTATAAATAAAACTAAATTCTTTTTTAAAAATGTTTTTAATGTTTATTTTTGAAAGAGACAGAGACAGGGTGTGAACGGGTGAGGAGCAGAAAGAGAGGGAGACACAGAACCTGAAGTGGGCTCCAAGGTCTGAGCTGTCAGCACAGAGCCTGATGTGGGACTAGAACTCACAGATCACAAGATCATGACCTGAGCCAAAGTCGGACGCTTAACCAACTGAGCCACCCAGGGGCCCCTAAAACTAAATTCTTAAGTATCAGGTCCATATCTATAAACCTATATATTTAATAATATCCACCATATAATAGGTGTTTGCTAAATGTTAGCATCCATACTTTGGGGTGTTTTTTTTTTTTTTTTAGGTTTTTTTTGGTTTATTTTTTTCTTGAGAGAGAGACAGAGAGTGTGCTGTGGAGGGGCAGAGAGAGAAGGAGACACAGAATCCCGAGCAGGTTCCAGGCTCTGAGCTGTCAGCACAAAGCCTGATGCAGGGCTCAAATCCATGAGCTATGAGATCATGTGCTGAGTCAAAGTCAGACACTTAACTGACTGAGCCACACAGGCACCCCTACACACCTCAGTCTTAAACCACACAAATGTATAACCTTGAAACTATAGTTATGATATAGTTTATGCTTGGAATATAGTGTACTTATTATAACTTTATGAAGATGTTGACAAATCAAAAGGCACAAATTGTCATGGTGGACAACATGTGTACCCGGATATAATATCTTAGGATTTCAACATATGCAGTATGCTCAAAATATCTCCTTTATTTCCATGTTTATCTTTAACTCACCGTTTTTGTCAAGTTTTAGAGAAAAGATTAAAGATTTCCTTTTATTTTCATACATTACTGAAATATAGGACATACTTATCTTTTCATGTTAAAATTTCTACTTTCAAGTGGACTGAAAAATATGTGAAGCTCTCAGGAAATCATATTCAGTGCAGTTTATAAATCAAGTTCTTTATGCTTGGTCCACATTAAACCATGACAAGATGTACCATTATATGCACAATAGGAAATGTATATAAGTATTTTAATATTGGGATATTAAAATCTGCAGGAAATGTGGCAAACCATTTCATGGGATCAGAGTTTGGCCTCCGGATTTAAAACAAATTGGTTTTAAATCCCAATTCTTCTAACTTATTCTCTTTGTGGAAAGTTGCGCAAATTACTTAACCTTCCCGATCTCAGTTACTCCATGTGAAAATGAGATAATGGCAGCAATTAGCACTCCAGTTCATTCTAATGAGTCATTATATCTAGAGTCCATGGCACTGAGCCTGGCCTTTAGCAGCCCTTAAGAAGTGATACCTACTCCTATAAGTACTTGAAAGTTTGGAAATGAAACTTCATAACCAAAAGATTCATAACCAAGCAACTAATTTTGGAGTATCTCCTTTCTCCTGGCAATCATATGGAGAAAAAAGAAGAAATTAAAAATAACATTGTATCTTCAGTGAAACTAGGAGAGAGAGAAAACTCAGAGACTTCCAGCTGCATAAGGATTACAGCAATGGTGAGGCCACACAGAAGCTGGTGATTTTAAGACCTGAGGGGAGGGCAGAGTAGGGAAAGGGGTTCTGAGGGCTGGTGGATCTCACACATCTCTAGCAGATAGTTGATTCCCAAATGAGAGCATCCCATCTGAGATGGGACCACTGTGAGTATAACTGAGACTGAGCACCTCAAGAGCACTGAGAAAGGAACAGAAAGACAAGGTTTGGAAAATGTCCAAGAGCCCAGAGGTAGCAGATAGAAGATATGCCAGCCAGAAGTAGTGTCTAAGAGTGCATCATGGTGAAAGAAAGGGTTGTGGAGAGGAGTAGGAAATGCAGGGCTGGTGGGAGAAGGTCACCAGAACCAGGCTGGGCTCTGAGAGTCAGAGCAGGGCTGTTATAGAAATTAACATATTGTAAGACATTCACTGTAGCGACAGGAGGGAGATGTGAGCTATGAAACTTAGAATGATGTGCTGTCACATCCCTGTATCCTCTGCTCCATCTCCTACTACAAGTTTAGGAAAACCCCATCCTGTGTAAATGCAAGAAACAGGAAATGAGGAAGCACTGCCTGCACACAAAGGTTGTCATAAAATAAATAATAAATGAAAGCAACATCAATTCCTAGATATAATTAGGAAAACTCACCTAAAAATAATTTTGACAAAGTGAATGAATATTAAAACATAACGTTACAATAAGAGTAAAAAAAAAAAAAAAAGGAAAGAGAAAACAAATAAAAACAAAAGCTTGGAAAAGTAATTACAGTTATGCAGGAATATCACAGCGCACAAATATAAGAACTCAAAAAAAGAAAAAAAGGTGATCAAAAACAGGTAGTGATGGCCTGGAAATAAGATGACATGAAATGTGAATCAACAGAATTTGGAAAACAAATAGAAAAAAATATTTTAAATGATGATGAAACGACAAGGGACACAGAATAACTGCTAAGGAAGCACAGACAACAAAAAACAAAACCCAAAAAAAACAGAGAGGAAATAAATGAAAAACAAAGTCTATAAAAAAAAAAAAAAGATTTAAAGCAAGAAAATCATGTCTCCTTATAGAAATGGATGATTATACACTTGGAAGATAAAAATGCAGAAAGTGAACCCAAGACATCTGTACATACTAGGAAACAAGATGATTATTAAATAATGTATAAATCATCAAACCAATTAGAAAAGAATCATGTTTTGTCACAAATGGGACAGTCTGAGCATGAATAGTAATAATTACTATGAATAGAAAACAAGTAAGTTTTAAAATATGTTTAGATCCATGAGTACTTTCTAACACACACACAGACACACACAGACACACACACGTACACATACACACCCCATCACATTCATTGGTCAACTTCAGGGAATGTAGGATACAAACAAATAAATTCATCACTTAGAAAATAAATAAAAGTATTAAGCATTAGTCTTGCTTTTCCAGAACTCACTGTAACTTTGGGTACCTCTTTATAAAAGCATTCCAGCTAATAAATGAAAAAAAAAATTGAATTAGAACCCATCACTTTGCAATCTTTAATGAAATGATGGAACAAGGCAAAGCCCATCAGTGGCTGTTACTATGACACAGAGAGTGTGTTAAGATTCTGTGTCTTCTAAAAATAGCACATCACCCCATTTATGAAGCTGTTTTCCTAAAAATGCAAATCAGAATCTAATGAAAGTTCTAGATCTAATCAAGAATTTACATAAAATACCAGAGACAAGGGAGCATGTTAAACTAAGCTACAGGGATTTAATTAGCAAAATCCAGACTGTGTAAAACAGTATGGAAGAAGCCCTTCAGGGTTTTTTCCCCCCAAAAAATAAATGGCAAGGAATTAAAGAGAGGCATTCTATCAATAAAAGAGCTAAGGGACAGAATCCATTGCAATATTTAGGCTAGATATTGTATGAGATTAAGATATTCTACTTACTATGTAGGAGTGATAATGATATTCTTGTTTTTAGAGTTTTTTTCATTTAAAGAAGAAATAGAAGGCATCCAAATTGGTAAGTAATACAACTGTCATTATTTGTAATGACATACTATATTTAGAAAACCCTAGAGACTTCACCAAAAAACTATTAGAATAAATGAGTTCAGTAAAGCTGCACGATATAAAATTAAAATTCAGAAATCTGCTGCATTTCTATACACTAATAATGAATTAGTGGAAAGAGAAATTAAGAAAACTATCCCATTTACAACTGCACCAAAAAGAATAAAATACCTAGGGATAAATTTAAGCACAGTGGTGAAAGACCTATAGTCTAATAACTATAAGACACTGATGAAAGATACTGAAGACAGTACAAACAAATGGAAAGGTATGCCATGCTCATGGACTGGAAGAATATTATTAAAATGAATTAAAATGCTTTTATACTATCAAAAGCAATCTAGATTCAATGCAGTCCCTATCAAAATACCAATAGCAATTTTCACAGAAATATAAAAAACAGTTCTCAAATTTGTATGGAACCACAAAAATCCCTGAATAGCCAAAGCAATCTGGAGAAAGAAGATCAAAGCTATGGTTATCATAGGGGCACCTGGGTGACTCAGTCAAATGTCCAACTTCAGCTCAGGTTGCAATCTCATGGTTCATGGGTTCGAGCTCCACGTTGGGCTGTGTGCTGACAGTTTAGAGTCTGGTCTGCTTGGAATTCTGTGTCTCTCTATCTCTCTCTGCTCCTCCCCTACTCACTCTCTGTCTCTCTCTCAAAAATAAACAAACATTAAAAAAAAAGAAGCTGCAAGTATCACAAGCCCAGATTTCAAGAGATACTACAATGCTATGGTAATCAAACCAATATAGTACTGGCACAAGAAGAGACATATAGATCAATGGAACAAGATGGAGAGCCCACAAATAAACCCACAGATATTTGGTCAATTAATTTATGACAAAGGAGACAAAAATATATCATGTGAAAACGTGTTGGAAAAATTGGAAAGCTACATGCAAAAGAATAAAACTTGGACCACTATCTTACAGCTTATACAAGAATTAACTCAAAATGGATTAAAGACCTGATTGTGAGACCCAAAACTATAAACCTCCGAAAAGAAAACATAGGTAATAATTTCTTGGACACTGGCCTTAGTAACATATTTATGGATATGTTTCCTGAGGCCAGGAAAACAAAAGCAAAAATAAACTATTGGGACTACGTCAGAATGAAAAGCTTATGGGGGTGCCTGGCTGGCTCAGTCAAAAGAGCATTTAACTCTTGATCTTGGGGCCATGAGTCTGAGACCCATATTGAGTGCAGAAATTACTTACAAATAAGTAAACTTAAAAAAAATAAGCTTTTGCAAAGCAAAAGAAAACTGTCAACAAAACAAAAATGCAACCTACTGAATGGGAGAAGATATTTGCAGATGGGTAATG